AATACCAGTCTCTGCTCCTCATTGAACAGGTTCAATGAAGTAACCGGACTAGGTACAAACGAATAGATTGTTATCATTATTATCATCATCACGTACTGACTCGTGTGCTTAACTTCCGTGGATCACAATCAGCTCGGTATGTTATGGTGTATTATTAGATGATCCTCAAATGAACACGATATGTTATCTATATTAAAAAGCAGCTTTTTGATATTCCCGTTTGCTTGAAACTTAAAAATCGTCCACTAATTACTTTATTCATCTGTTTCAACAGGCGTATGGGTCCCCGGGTGTTTAAAATGTGGCTTAAACCCCAGTGTCATCTTGGGTTACGACCTTCCATATCCAACCTCATGGAAATATTTTGTGATCTCCATTGTCGAGAAAATAAGGAACTTTGGGAGCATTTAAATGCGATGGGTATGTTTGTGATAACCAACGAAGAGCACTGGACAGCTGCTTCGTCCTTTCTGTGACTTGTCAGCAGTGCCTGGTGCCTCTGAACAATCGAATGGGCTAATCCAAGCTTGATACTCTAAATTTGGTAGCATTTATTTTTGCACATGGAGGATAGTATAGGCTATAACGTGCTCACATCAGCAAGGAAATTATTCATAAATGAAATCGGCATTGACCATTTAAGGCACTCAAGCACGGTTGGCATATATAAAAGGGTACCAATTTTCAATGGGCCCCTTTTCCTAAGTTATTTCCGTTTTCATCTATATGAGTCTCTTCTTCGTCAACATTCAACTGACTATGATGAATTCATTTACATCCTACCGTTTTTTAGAAAACATTTCTTTAATAAAGGACTCATTGAACTCAGTACCAAAATGATATATTTGCCTGAAAGTTTGATATTCATCCTTCCGACACCAGTGTTTGTGAGAATAGTACCACTCCATATCTTGAAGTTGATCTATTTAAAAATCATTATCTGTCTTAAGGAACGCCTATTTTGTCGCAATCCCCTATGCATGCAATTGATGGTTAATCTAACCACAGTCGTTTTGCATGATGTGTGGGTTTTTTAAATAACAAAAATGCAAGAATGGATCAGGTAGTGCAATCCACACAATGAGAGGGAGGGATAAGGTGAAATGACAAATGGATTCACTTCACGATTATCGTGTGTGGTGAAACTGTTTACAGCACAACAGACATGCGGCTACAGTGTCAAAGTTCAACTGCGTTTGGTTAGTGTTTAAGTAAATAAATTCTGTTCACACCCTCGCATAAAATTGTAACGCTCAAATATAAAGATCCCCTATTGAAAGGACATATCAAAACAGCAGTTTAGTACCGACCGTTTTGTCTACATTTGTTTTACTGCTCTTCTGAACGAACTTTCGCTCAGTTGTACTGGCTTTTCGTTGACGAAAGCTTCAATGAATTTTGTCATTCCCAATTCACTTGTTTGCCCAGATAGAATCTGGCTGTGAATTCATACAGTTATCAGATTTTATTATTGAATGTTTGGTGCCATACTATGCAAAATGGAAACGATAACATTTTACGGACAACGTTAAATAATTTACTATACTGTGATTCACCATAGATCAAACGTTTTCTTTCACTTAACCCAGACAGAACCAAGTTTCTTGAGTTGTCGCAGGAAATGTTTGAAGAATAGCTGAGCCGCGGCAAACACAAACGTCGTGATATGCACACTACTGAAGAGTGGCACGCAAAACGGGATTTTTGTAAACTGGATGTAACTTTGGATGTGTGAAGTCGATACGCGAATTAGGTATCACGTGGTTTTAAACATCCACACCCATGGAACGCATACTGTACAGATGCATATNATGCATATCAGCACTGTTTTATCGTTCTGTATTGGGGTATGGGGACAGAAGATAACAGCTACCCAGTGCTATAAACAATGACAAATTGTTTATATATACCTTTTATTACGTTTGCTGACAGTGAATTAAAACATTCTTAAGGTCTAGCTACTCAAAATGTTTTAAGTGACTTATTATCTTGCCATAATTAGGGCAGAAATGTGAAGCAGTTCACAATGCACCTTGAGCGGTTGATTTACTTGCTTGGATATTACTTTTCAAATTCCGCCTACTATATAATTCTATCGAACATTTTTATATCGGTCGTCTGACTTTATAAACATCAAGCTCTGCGTATTTCTCATTAGATTAGCAACAGCTTTCCGTAGTGCTTTGTTAACCATCCCACAAAGCATTCCTTTACCTCTCACGCATCTCGTCGACCACCAAGTCTAATTCGGCCCCCGCGGTCCTCAGCCAATATACTCACAGTGAGCACAATGAGCAAACTGGATTGGGGGAAAGAGAAGAGAGAGAACAGACTCGTATGACCAAACGAATTAGAATCATCATTGACATAGTCATCAGCACTTTTTCAAGGAGTGATCAACATATTGTGTAAGCTATTTATCCGCATATCAACTATGCGATCATTCATAATGGGATTGACAGAGTGAGAGAGACAGGGGAAGAGGAGAGGTTGGCAAGACAGTGGGTTGGGATTGAAGCATAAATGAATTCCATGGACAGCGAGATTGTGAGTTCCAGATGAGATCAGTCCGCGTCTATCCGAACCTGTGTTTATCGACAAAGGGCGAAAAGAAACAAAGGGACACGTTGTTTGATCGGTTCGCCAGGGCGAGTTCGAGTGAGACAGATCAAAAATAATGTCATTGCAATAGTATTGCAGTTAAGTGCAAGCACGCAAACTGTAACCAGAAGGTTGAAACAAAGCAGTCGATCGGCAGCCTATTCACAGTATTTAATGAGCCAACTTTCGCGTGATTCGTATAAACAGATATTGATCAACGGCCAGACCAAAATTATTCATGAATAGTTACTTTCCATCATGCAAGCAGAATAATTGTCGCTTTGATGGGCAAAAGCTAATTATCAGTAAGTCGGTTACGAACCACTCATGTTTGCAATTTGTACAATGAGCTCAGAGCGGTCACGAAATGGTTCTGGATTTCGAAACGTCAACACTTGCTGGCTACAAGACATTTATCGGTGATGATTAGGTAGAAGGCACCCGCATCAACAGTTAAAGAAATCAGAGGAGCAATACAGTCAAGCACTTTGTTTATTCACTTGCATTCGGTTCTGTTCGGTGAGTGGACCTATATGCGGCCGAGATCCTTTATTTCGCTCCAGTTTCTAATTACAGATTATTGGTAAACTATTTATTTATTTATTTATCAAAAACAAAAGTTCTCTCGAAAGCGAACTGGTTTTCAGTTTCAAATAAGTATTTATGTGCGGGGTAAAGCGAAGCATTTTAGGTGAATTAATCACTGGGGAAAGTATCAATTTATTCGAACAAACGTATTTTGGTGCCCTCTAGGTTGTCGCCTCTGTAATTTTGTTTTCTGCTCCTTGCCTAAGTCTGGTATGATGCAGAACATTATGTTCAAATCATTCCGAAATGAAAACCAGTAAGTGTATGTGCAATCACTCAGTTCTTCCGGGTAAACTAAGCATATATCACAATTCAACGACATTCTGTGATCAGCAAAGAACACGTTTTCAATTTCTCAGTTGTTTTGGGACTTAACTATTGTTTCTCCATTGTAAACACTTCTGACTGTAATGAAGAATTACCAGTTACAGAAATTACAATTACAATTACAAATATAATGTACTACGGAATGATCTATGAAATAATCGGGGAAGCTTAAAGAAGTGATGAAAATATGAGTCAGATAGAACATATTAATCTCAACAAAATACACGAATGTGCTATTTTACTGAAAGCACTAATATTTTACTACCAAACTAAAGTAGGTATGCGTTTGATACATCATACCAAGGAGTGAGAAAATAGAGAGTAGGTGAAACGCCTTTTGGAGAGAACAAATATGGTCTTGAGAAAAAATGTTAGTTCACAATAGCATTCTTTTATTGGAGCCTAAGCTTGCTTACCAAAACTAAATGAATTTCATTCATAGCAGCTGGAACTATTCAAAAAAATTGAGTTCCCCTCATGTACAGTAAGCAGAAGTAAGCCGTTAATTCAGAAAAATCAATCATTTGTTACTGTTGCAACCAACCGTATATTAACCAAATTTAGTTTCCTCGAGTTAAATCCAATCCGTACTTACTTACAACCAGACATGTTGTTTAATGCTCACTGGATGGGCATCACGTAGGTTAACAGTCCGTTCTTCCTCTTTAGTACTTTATTGAATTAGACATTCATTCCTGTGTCTCTTTTCCCGAATAATTTGGGTTGTGATTGGATTCTGTATCCACTCCTCCATTTTCCCCCGTGGAACAATTAAAATTGCTCATTCGAGCTTTACTCAGAGAGTTTGCGCACATCATACAGTCTGTTTACACATTATCGTCACAAAATCAATCAAAAATCTCCCTGAGCACCTGGTTAAATCAAGTCAACTAGTAAACTTGACGAATGCGTTCAGTTGCCTTTATGGCGCTCACGAGCGACAGTCTTAGCGGAAATAAACATCACTTCCTGATCAAGATGAAGCGGGAAGAATTTGTACACGCAGAATCTGCTCCCCCTCTTTCTGTGCACAAGTCATCGTATCTGCTATGGTTGTCTGACAATCGTTATTAGGAGTTGCCCATCCTACATGTCATCACATCCGATATAGACACTGCGCTGAGAACAGTGGAGGTTATATACTTTTAATGTTGATTTCACCTGTGTGTGTGCGATGTCTGTCTTCCTGTTTTTTAAACTACTTATATCTCTCATGAAGTACTAAGTATCAAGGGCGAGTCGATTAAAAGTAATTCTCTTGACAATATTACGGGATAGAAAAGGTTGATGGACGATCCTCGACAAACGACTGGTCGGACGCGTACACGAAAGCTTCGTCCTCCTGTGCATATAACAGTGATCAGAGTCTTAGAGAGCCTGTGTATGTGAGTTAATTCTACCAAATGAAGAATGTAGCTGCATATTCACCTTTAGGCGAAGTGACCTTGCACATCAGGGATTGCACGTATTTTGGAAGGTAAACGCAATGAAAGAGTGGTAAATGTGATTAGAATATGATCCATTCTGTTCAATCACCGTTCAGGTTTTTTCACAGTACAGCGAGAAAACAGAATAAGCCATTAGGAAATTCAAGCTTGTGGAGCGGAAGAACCTGCTTTTAGACATTTTGCCTTAAGCATTTGCATTTGCATAGGAAAATAAGTATGGGGATGAATCGATTGCTTCACCTCAAGATGATTGGGAGTGAGTGTCATCATTTATTCCTCCCACACCCCACCGCCCCCCCCCCCCCCANCCCAATAGAAACACACAAATTACGACTTTTCCATGAAGGATGGGGAATCGCTCACATACACCTGTTGGGGCATTACCAAGCATGCAACTCAAATGTGCCACCATCAATGAACTCATTTGAACTAAATTGGTTCTCTAATCCACATGTGAACAGCTGAAGGGCTTATTCCAAATAATTTTAGGTCAGGTCAGTGGTATAGCAAAGGACAGAGGAGTGGGTTATACCAAGTTAGTGATTGGTTGCGGAATGCCAAATGCATAACATAAGTTCTTTCTTGATTGTGAGTGAACTAAAGTGAGGATAGTGGTATCTGAATCCGAAAGGTTGACATGAACAAATCCTGATACACAGTTTACTTCTATACATCAAATAGTTTCAAGGTCAAAATAGTTACCTATTTTTCAACTGATTGCATCAATCAGAAGGTAAGTCAAAACTATTCTACGGCGGAATAATTTATTTTTCCCGTCTTTTCGACTTCTCTGGGGTTTTTAATGTTATATTTCAAAATTGACTCCGCACGCCTTTCGAAAAATAATGCTGCTGTCCTCAATCTATTGTCAGTCGCAAATATCTCCATATTTGGGGATCATTCTATTCTTGTCTGTTGTTCCAAGTCAACGTTTACCATCATTATACCCAGCCACAAGTTGGAGTCGCATCTGAAAATGGTTTAGAAATTTATTTCTAAACCCGCAATTTCATACATGCGATACTGAACCCTTACTTAGACGACCACACTTAATGGCGATTATATTCCTATTGGCTCTAATTTCTCAAGGCAAACAATTTAAATGCTAAATTATTTGCCTGAATTGATTTTACTCATCCGCGAAGAACCGTTTGTACAGTCGTGCAATGCTATACTGCTTTTACGATGAACACTGACATGTATCGTGTTACACATTATTGGTCATACTCCATCATTCTAGCACTGAGATAGCAAAACTTTTACCTATTTTTACTCGCATTTTGGAAAAACAGATGGACTGGAATGAATTGTTTGACTCTGAAGTTTTAGTACACTTTCCGGTGAATGATTTTGTTTCTCAAGGTTAGAAGGCTTTTAAATGATTTTAAGATGCTCCTTTATTGTTTTTAAACGCGATTTTACTATTTTTGTTGACCGAAAAAGGCCACTAGACAGCTTTTTCGTCCTGTTTTGGACTCGTCAGCAGTGCGTAAATTTTCTGTCCGTGTCAGGACTTCAACCGCGAACATTAGGGCTGGGGCTTCAAACCCTTCATCCTGACTTACACGGTTGTGTAAAAGATTCAGTCAATTTAGAGTATCATGTTTAGCTTAGATCGTCCAGGTGTTCAGAGGTACTAGACACTTTTGATCGTCTTGGGTTCCGGGTTTCACTCCTTGTGAGATCGTTAATTCCCCGCTAGTTGAATGCAGTCAAACTTGATGGAAATTTTTGTGATGACTTTTTTTGGTAATCGAAATAATATTAATTATCGGAATACGAGAACCAGTACTGCAATACTCAAAACTGGATTAGCTCCAACAAGAACTGCGGACACCAGTGAAATGCACGGGGAATTGGTAGCAGCAAGTACCAATGTTTATTGACAGAAATACAACGTTTTACAGGAAGCAGTAGGCCACATCATTGGTTAAGTCACCATCATCCAATCACGTAACCTTTTGCGCAGACGCATCGCATGTACTAACTCTGATGTGAGTTTCACCCGGTGTACCATTGGTTCAGCTTCCTGAAATTTGATTGGATGCCTTGAAGCTGTACCTGGTCGTACTTGGAATGCGGTCTCGTATGTCTGGATCACCATATACCTATTGGCCTCAGCATACGAGCAATGAAACTCAGTGCGCATGGTCCTTCGCCATTTCTAGAAATCAACCATTTTTCTTATGTATCGAAATACATTTTATCGTTTGTAAAAATAGTAATAGTTTGTGTGATAAAACTCCGGTGAATTTCACTGTATCGATATAAACCCTAATTAATATTTATTATGCTTGTTTTGATTTAGATTGTGATCTGCTTTGATAGAATACTTTTCTGCTTATCGGCTTAACTTGGCCCACCCGAACGGTGTCCATCTGAGCCTGGAATCCTAATTTACGGAAACGTTTGAAACACGCACTTCTAGTTTTATGCACCGATCTCGTGTCAAACTTGTGTTTACATATACATTTGTTGAGTATTTAAAAAGGGAAACATTTGCTATCATTGAATTTTGTTTCCTCAGGGAACCTCATTTTTACCGATGCTCTGCCGTGGAAAAAGGAGTTTCCAGTAGTATTTGTCGTCTTTTACAATTCATTTTCATGAACATTGAAAGGAGATCGATACTGGAAAAAATATGATAAACGAATAAAAAGTACAAAATATGTTTCAATACAGTTACTGATATAAAGCGTTTACTACGCGCGATTGTATCAATATGAGGCTTCTAACATATTTCACTGAGTAGTGATTCTTCATAGTTTAACTTCACTTTAAAATTTGGGTTCCATTCTAATCCGTAAGATCGTTAGCCACGTTCATGGGACTTTACCTGAAAAAATCGAAGCATCTCTCTTCCGATTAAGTATTTCGCCAAAATAGGGCTCTTTTACTCAGTGGAATTGGATTACAATTTGTTTTCAAAGCATCTATGGTCACTCAAATTTACTGTTTGATTGATGTCTACATGGGAATGAGATTTGCGATTTTACCCATTTCCTCCTGCTAAAAATAAGCCTTCAGTTCCGAAAAAATCTTTTTGAAACTAAGGTCAAAATGAACTACGGGTCTGATGTATTTTTCGATTTCAATTACCAGAAATAGATCATAATAACAGGATATTTTGTCCATCAGATTCAATTCTCGGTGACCAATCAAAACAATCAACTCCATATGATTTTCAAGGGTTACCGCATTAGACCCTCCACTTGTGCTTTGCAACCATTACTTGGTTTCAAAGCATTTCTAACTGAACCTAAGCCCTGCCTCATAATGATTTAGGAGATATGCATACCTGGATGCCCAAATAGAGCTAGCCAAGTCGTGTTATGCTGCACTCAATTACCCTGAATAACTTTTGTAGAGGCTATTTTACACTCATCTTTTCAAAATCCACTCATTGTTGAGGTCTTGCTTAGGCATTTTTCGACACGCCTGCGACGAAACAGGTTTCAATGTAATTATTCCGTCCAACTGTAAAATAACTGTATCTAATTCCCCTGATGATCTAGGCTCTAATTGAGTGAAGGCAGTCANNNNCAAGTCCATGAAAAATTAATAAAGGGACTCCTGGTAGTGTTAAATCATGGAAATCACACTAGGAATATTTTTAAAGCCACGTTGGGGAAGTTTCATCTGGAAGACAGATTATTTTAGAGGATAAGGTGACGGACAGCAAGTTCAGCTCAAGTTTGGTAAAGTGCTAGTCGAATTGGTGATTCCTTTATATAGATATATATATATATCTCCTGGCAAAACACCGACACTATAGGTAATTTCAGGTCCATATTACATAATTTCGACCTATCAAACTCATTCAAAGAGTGATTAAAAAACATTTTACTGTTCGTAAAAGAGAAGAGAATATATAAGCATCCAGTTTAAGTTTGGATAAGCCCATCAAGTTTGAAATAATATGCCGCACAGTAAAAGATTCTATACCTCAAACTTAGACACCATGAAGGCCAAATACCGCAATAGAGCACCCGGTGCGTGTTGTGTAACTTATCTGTTGGCAAATATATACCGATGGTATAAAACTTTGAAAACCGAATTTTATTGATGCCTGAATGATTTCAATAAGTACAAGTGACTGATTATTCTGAATCAAATACCCACTTTTCCTGACTGGGTGTGAGGAATACCCAAATCACCCGTCCAACTTGACCCAAAAAGGTACAGCCTGTCCACCAGCGCGTGTTATTATCTGTTTGAGACGAAATAATTCATCAGAGGGGGAAATGTCAAACGCATTTCAAGTTGGTCTGTATCATCTGCAAAGAACGCCAAAAGTGAAACCATAAAACATAAAATATTTGTTTATTGTTAAGCAAATCTCTATCTAAATTTCTATGTAACTGAAATCTTCTATACGCTACTTAGCTCACAACTATTTTTGGGGGATAAACCTCATAGTCGGATCTTGCTTCTGAATATGCAAGCTTTGTCCTTCTTTCCAAACCCTATGGGACAAGAGAAGCAATCGCTTATAAGTATTTACCATAATAAAACTTTCACTTTGACTTTGACTTTCACAGGTAGACAACATTGCATCGTTCAAAAAGAAAATATCTCCGACTCACCTAGGTCGTCCGATGGTGATAAAGTATTCATTCAACTTGTTTAAATAAGCTCTCAGCGTTTCAGGGCTTTTAAAAATTTTGGGTTTTCTTGGCGGTTGAATCACACCACCAGTGTTCTGGTATTCCTGAATCGCATTCTGCACATCAAATGGCTGGTTTGTGAGCACTTCATCAGCAGAAATCTCTGTGTTAGACGGATCCGCAGCGCGCTTCCATATTCGGTCATCACTGGTGTCCAACGTGTACGTATCGAACCGTCTACCTTGTCCAATCAGGATCATGCTGGACAGGACTGTAAACAATACGATTCCTCTGAACGATTGCATGCCTTCTGATTCGATCGAACTGCACAGTAAAATGAAAAATGTGAAAGCCAAGTGTCAGTTTTAAAAACGTAGACAAAACGTACCAGTCAAAAAAACAATATCTCGAAACCATACACTAGTAGCACTTTTCGTCTCAAAAAAAGGGTGGAATTACCATCAAATAGGAATGATTAACTTGTTAAGCCAAATCCAAATTTTCCTGAAATGCAAAATGATCTGTTGCAGTTGTGTATAGCCGAATCCAGTGACTTTTTCAAACTTCGTAATATTCTTCAGATAACCGAATATTTTAGTCACCTTGGACACTATCAGCAAACAATTCACATGCTTAATTAAGTAATAAAATGAACAATTTGTTCAAGGATGGTTAGCAGAGAAGCTGTACCGAATACAATATCTATAGCAAATTTTCAACTGTGTTGTCTACTTTAATTTTTCTCCGGGGCTTTTAACATCCTTTTGAATAATTCCGCAACAGATTTCATTGGTGCGTTCAGTTGGGATCAATCTTCAATCGCAAGCTGGCATGCGTTCGGTTCTCAGTCGTGCATTTCGAGACTGACAACTACAAGCAGAACTTTTCCAAACATTCCAAACTCTATTTCTGTACACACGAACAGCATTCGTAACCCTTTACAGATGATTTTACAGCCTGCTAAAAGACGAGTTCATAGTGGTTACGACCTGTCACCATCATTCTCATAATCTATTTTTATTAGGCTATCACATTTTTCTCCTTTTCCATTCTAATAAACCAATAAAAAATAATTTATTATAAAATACGTTTTATTCACCGTCAATCATAAATCTGAAGGATTCATACATACGCCGTTTGGTCCTCAGTTGCGAACTGGTTTCGTTTTATTTGTATTCATTTGTGATAAAAATAAGCGAAAACATTCCGCTTTTCATTTCACTTTTAACGTACAGTTATTTTTGAGCTGCATTTTAGGATGTATCTGTTATGGTCGATTGTTATTCAGGATGCGTACGCCATCCTTAGCTTGTTCAGTGAAGAAGACACGCTTTTCTTTCTTCAAAAGTCATCAGCGATGTTCATACACTGACCCATTCGGGATTAGAAGTTTGAACATACCGCCTGAAACCACTGTGTCAACAAGCCCACATCGGAGCTAATTAAAATTACTGATTCAACCTTGTTCTGGTTTTGCTGACAGTGCTAACCAATGTGTTCTTTAGTTTTCGGAAACACGACAAGTATGTTTGACACAATATCTGCTAATTCGGATTACAGTCCTTTCACTCCGATCAGATCTTCCAGGCAACTTTAGATACATGCTCCTTTAGCGAATGACCAAGATATAGTGCTTAACGTACATTACGGATTAAGGACACATAGTTTGGTGGGAAGCACAAGCAACTTGTGTGTTAACTTCTGCTCAATGGTGGGAGCAATCTGATTTGAGTAGTGCTCAGCCAACAGTGTTGAGCATTCAACTGATCGCCCGAGCTTGGCAGCTGGGTTGTGAACGGTCAATCATTAAATGGGATCACGCCTCTTCATGTGATTACATGAGTTAGAGAGCAACGTAGTACTACTTGGATTATTTAAATTACTTGTTTCTTCTATGTACTGATCCAGTTTATGGTGCAGTGTTTGGTGTTTATTGGTTAATGTGCAAAAATTGAGTTCCTTACTTTCTTAAAAAATATGGGAAATGTTTATGAAGCTTTTCATTTTTCGTTGCAGAGACGTAATCCATACATTATTCACAGTACTGGCCGATTATGATACACTAAAATATTTTCTTTCTGATCAAATTGAGTTTCATTATATTTATCACCTATGTTAATGCTTTAGATGTGAACAATAATTTATTTCTTGTCTACTTCGATCTGCATAGTTTCTAGGCTGCGTGATTGTCACTTAAACGTACCTGACCTCGGTTGCCTTCACAAACCTACACGTGTCTCACAGGGACCCGTTGATTCAGTTTCGAATAGACCTGTATTTTCCTTGGTTTATTTTATTTCTATCTTATGTTTTGTTTGTGTGAATAGATTTTCAGCAGAATACTCATTACTACAAGTTGTAGATGACAATGATCCAAACAGAAAATCTGCACTACCTTCTGGCAGTTATCACAGTACAGTAAAACGTCATTTGTCCTACTGATGGACTCGCCAGATTCAAGCTAATTTGTGGGAGGGGGCATTTGAACAACATGGATAAATGCTAAGATTAAACCAGTTTGTACTATCTGATAATTGCCTAATTCAAGTCCTACTTTTGACAATCACCCACAACGGATGTTTGGTGTCATATAATTCCAGTGAACCTGCCACGATGAATACTGGTTGATAAAGATAGAGCTGACCATTCGAGTGGATGAAATCCAAGTCTTCCGAGGGACGATTCTGAAATACGGGCGTGAAATATAAAGTTCAGCAAACCGAAGTATCACTGATCGTGAAAGCCGCTTTTGAATAAAAAAAGTTTGTCCGAGTTTAAAGTTTAAAATTTTCCCACAGAAACAAGCAGCATAAATGTTAATTATGTGCTGCCAAAAAGGATCTGACGAGCACAACTGTACTTTCTGCGGAATATTACGCACTTGTGAAAAACACCCGGACGACTTTTGCTAAGATTAATGAAATATATAGGTAGCTGTGCAATTTGTCCCTTTGATTATTTTAAATCAAATTGATAGGGGTATTAGTTATTTTTGGTTGTTCGATTCCTCTTGTTTGTTATTTGGAGGTATTGGAGGTACTGATTAACAGAATAGACAAGTTGAATAGGAGAAACTCAAGGCGTTGAAAAGTTCCATTCAAGTATTTATCTACTGACGTTTTATCAAGATCAAGCAATGTTTAAATCGGACCAGGATTGAGGAAATTACGTGAGAATTGCATCAATCACAGTGTATTATTGTGATCATTGTTCGTATGGAAAATTAATTTTATCATTTGTTTCATCTTTTATATTTACATGATCTATTCGTACGTATGATATTTTTGAAAAGAATTGCAGATCCATTACAAGTCGAACAAACACCTGGTTAACGCTATTTGTCATCTAGTATACGCAAAAGGGATCTGGGACCGACCTACCAGCCTACCAACCGGCTTATTCTTGGTTCTGCTCGCTTCCGTCAGTTGTGTAAATAGCGGAATGTGAAAAATTCACAACTGCTGGCGAAAAGCCTCTTCACTCAGCTGACGATGACCCAGATGGTGTTTGTGTGCGCTTGCACCGTGGCTGCTAGCCTTTTACAAATCTTCACTCTCGTAACAACATTCTCAAAGTCTTTTAAGCAACCGCAGTAGTGAACTTTACATACCTATGCTGTTTGAATTTTCGTCTGCACAGCTTCCTATGGACAGTAATCGTTGGTTTTGGTATATTTATCATTCCACACACTCCTACCACAATATATTATACTGATCTGAAATATACCAGACAATTTTACTTCTTGCTGTTCGAGTATATGTATATGTTTGCACCTTATAACATCAAGTTTCCTAATGTTTTTTTTCTGTCAGTCCATCACCCTAATGTTTCTTTTATTTTGCCTCATATTCAGTACTTATGGACCGATCGAATTCGGTGGTCGTATGCCACCAGTATCCCATACTGATTGTCAGCATTTCCGATAATAATTGACAATAATAAATGCCTCATATACGAGGAGGCAATTATAGTAGAAAGTAAACTTACTGCAAAGATGTACAATTTAACTTCACCGATCCAAATCATCATGTGACTTTTACGCGTGAGTGATCACATCTCACTTTTGGGGAAGCAAACCAAAAGAGTCAGCACCAAAAGTTCATGATGCTTCTGGTGTGATGATGAGCTTATGGCATCAGTATTTGAGCACATGAGCATAACGATGTTGCAGTTAGGGACAGCCGGCATCTGGTTAGAGTTAGTGATAGCTCCGATTATCTACTGTGGATTAATCCTTAATTGAATCAGGTCACGTATTCTGTCCAAAACGTTCATTTTCTCCGTCCTACGTTTTCGGGTTTTCGATCATCTTGAATGTTGAACGCATAAAAAATCTATCCAGTTGTCAATTAGCAATGAATCAAAACACGCATATAAAACTTGTTTGACAAATTCCTTTTGTCTTGAAGTTTCCAATTAATATTCTCCTGCGAAAGATATACAGTGACGAGGAGAATTCTTTAAAGCCGATTACCTACACCATAAGAAAAGTCGTTTCTATCATGTTTTATTTTTGTTCTACGCTTAGCCATTCAGTAGACACAACTAAATACAGAAAATTAGAAGTTGAACAACAATGAAACTTTCACACTTTACTTTTCCAATGAATTTAACGTAGCTTCGGTTCCTTCTCAATACTTTACCAGCTTGAAAAGGAATGTTTAATGTTCTCTTTTAAAGTTTATTGCTACCGGATCTGTGAGTTAAAAGTGATTGGCTAGTGATAAACTAGTGGTTCAAATCCCTTCCACCATAGGTTTTCGAAGCCTACGCTTCCACTTTTGAACAAAAACACTTCCACCGAACTTTAGTATGGGGTAGCTTTGCTCTCGTTTGTCTTGATATCCATATCAGCGAGGACTTTTGAAGTTCGTTACTCCAACTCCCAGGGCTTGTATCACCGGTTTCCATTACTGCAAAGTAGGCTCTCGTGGTCACGGGATTTGCCTTTTCAACTGTTCATAATAGTGGGATGCTTGAATGGTTCTATACGGGTCATTGTATGAAAAACGTTTTTATACCAACTAGCTTCTGATCAAATTCTGCACATCCTAACAACCGGAACATAATTCCTTTCTCCTCATCGATATACAATAATAAATAAATTCCCAGAACTAGAGGGGATCATTTTGCCCTGAACTTTGCCGGTTAGATCTTTGTAAAGCCTTATGGGAGTGATCTTACTGGATTGGCTGATAAATTAAAAACGTAATTAGCCAATCATGTGGGCACAATCAGTTATCCTCTTCATCTTATCAAT